CCAAGCATCACAGAGCCAGGGATCAGAGGCTGATTTTGAAACCCAAGCAATTTAAACCACCCCTGCAGCCACTCAGCATTTGTGCACACCTTACTGCACATTTGAGCTAATTCACCCACAATGAAAGCAGTTCTTCCATTTAACAAGATACAATTATCCTTCACTCTTACCCTCTCCCCAACTTGTGTTGCACCATTTAAACAATTAGTATCTTTGGGCAATATTAATCGCCCATAGAATTCAGTCATAGTTTCATCTGAATCCTGTGCTACCTAAAGGAATAAACAAAAATGTACATTTAACTTGCAACAATCTTATATTAGAAGGGAAGGTGGGCCCAGCTTGGTGGCATAGTCAGTAACGAACTGAGCTGCAGTGCTGGAAACCACATGAGTGACTCCAGGTGGCGATCCCTAGGTCGGCCTGAAAACATGTTGGCCATGTGTGTACCCAGGATCCTCAGGAGCTAGGGGCTGGGAAAGGGAGATCATGGCATGAGGAAGACCTTTTTATTTTATTTTTTTAAATTTTTATTTAACTTTATTTTTTCATTTATTTTTTTTCTTTTTTTGGAGAGGTTTTTGCTATAGGGCGCATGTGCTTGCCAGACAGAGAGAGACAGAGAGACAGAAAGCGAGAAATCACGCCCCCCCCAGGGGGGATGGCCACGCTGCAATCCCTTCTCCTCCATTCTCCTCTCGGGATCTTGGGCACGCACATGCACTCAGCGTGAGTTTAAGCCACTGGGTCCGGGACTCAAACTGCGGTCGACTACATGGGAGTCTAGCGACATAGCCATTACGCTAACTGCTGGTCCCAATTTTTTCATTAATTTTAATATGACTAGAGGGGGACAGAGTGAGAAAGAGAGGGAAAGTGGGAAAGCAAGCTGCCAGGTCTAGGACTTAAACCTCAGTCAGCCACGTGGGAGTCCAATGCCTTTAACCACCACATTACCTGCAGGCCCTAATGAGGCCCTTTTAAGGGTATTTTTTCTCTCTCTCCCTCTCTTCCTCATGGATCTGAATTTGCTCTCTATCATGAATAAATAACTCTGAGAAAAAATAATAAAAAAAGGAAATATGGCGAGACAAAAAAATAGGTAATTGATAAGAATCTATGCAAATAACAAGGAAATAAATGCACAGCTACAATAGTCCTCATTGTCATCCACCCGATGGCTTCTATAGACCAGACATGGAACAACGGTTGTCTACTTTCAAGGAGGTAATAGTCCAACAGGTAGATGGACAATTAAATAACTAGTGTGAAAACCATGAAGTTGCCATTTGTAGTTAGAGGAGAGCATGGGAGAAGCTCCAGGGAGAAGTCTTACCTATTGTTTTTAGGGACAACTGGGAGGATAGATGTGGGAAGAGGGGAGCTCAGTAAGATTGAAAACATAAGCAGTTAAAAACCAGAAGCATTTTTAAATTAATTTTTGCTCTAGGGCATGTGTACTCACCAAGAGAGAGAAACAGAGAGAGAGAGGGAAAGTAAGAAAGCATTCCTCAAGGGCGAATGACCACACCACAATCCCTTCTCCAGTCTCCTCTTGGAATTTTGGGTACCAGTGTGTTCTTCTAGCCACTGGGGCTTGAACTGGGTGGTTGGCCAGGTGGGATCCAGCTGCCTTAACCATCATGCTCCCAGATGGCTCACAAAAGCATTTTAAAGTACATGAAAAACTTGTGATTAGTATTTGGGAGTAAAAAGAAATGAAATTAATGACAAATAAGGGCAAACTATGTAAGATTCTCACATACAAAATGAAAAAGTATAAGTCCTTGTCCTAAAATGCACAAGAAGAGCACCACAGGATTAAGCAGGAAAGGTTCCAATTTTATTCCCATATTTAGAGAAAATGTATTTAAAAAAAAAAAATCAAGTCATTCTAATTCCACGAACACAAGCCATGGAGTGAAGCTTCAAGACTCATCGAAGCAAAGTGTAGAGGGGAAAAAAGGCTTACAGAAGGGGAAGGTGTCTGATACACACAGTAGGACCCTCTACACAATGAATAGCAGAAAATTCAATTTGGCCGGGAGTTGTGTCCATAGTTGCAGTAGACGTTCTAAGACTAGAGTTGAGATGGACAGTCCTTTAAAGAGAGAGCATTATGAAATGGCAGAGGGTAAAGAGGCCATTAGTTTTATATAGAAGATTTAATATATGAATAATAATAAATACTATATAAATAAATAAAATAATAATAACAAAGAAAAAAGAATTTCAAGAAAGTATCTGTAATAAATATTCTTAATATTAAAAAAAAAAGAAATTTCGACCTGAAAAGACTGAAAAGTGGTAATCAGGACTACAAAGTCACATGGAAATGGTTTTCTGATTTCTAAGATGAGATCTGAGCAATTCAGAAAGAAAAAGACCCAGTAGGAAGGAGCTACGATGTAGGAGGATGCACACCAGTATGTCTCCATAAGTCAGAGTTTAATCGCACTTCGTAATGCTGTTAACATGGGTAAATATCTGCTTGATTTGGAACAAATTCCCCCAAATTAAGAAAATATTTGTTGGCCTGATATTAGAAGAGTATAGATATGACTAGGAGATTTATTTGTCATGTCTCCAAGAAACATTTGGGAACCATTGACTCCAATCAGGGATACAAAACAGAGGTGTTATATCCACTTCCTAGAAATGCTATAAGAAATTAACACACACTGGGTGGCTGCAAGCAGTACAAATTTATTCTCTCCCTGTCCTGAAGTCAAGAAATTCAAAATCAAAATGCCAGTAGGATTGGTTTCTGCTGGAGGCTCTGAGGAAGAACCCAGTCCAGGCTTCTATCCCTGATTCTGGTGGTATCTATGGCAATGCTGGGCACTCTTTGGTTTGTAGTTACACCAGTCCAATCTCTGCTTCTGTCTTTATGTTATCATTTCCTGAGTGTCTCTGTGTCTCAGATCTCCCTTTGCCTTTCTTTCATAAGCACATCTGTCATTTGATGTAGGGCATCCCTAAATTCATCTCAAGATTTCCAAGAATTGTAGTTCTCATTCTCAAGTTATTATAATCACAATGACTCTTCTCCTCAATAAGGAGTCATTCAAAGGTTCGGGGATTAGGACTTGGACATATCTTTTTAGGAGACACCACAGGTGTACAGCATCTCTGTGGCTTGAATGCAAGTTCTCAGATGAGGTGCGTCAGTGTAACATTGAGGAACTCTGGCTTGGAGACAGTCTGGGTTAGAAACCTAGCTCTTCCACTTAACAGATATGCAGAACAAAACCTCTTCTTGTACTTTGACTTCTCTCTGGAAAATGAAATAAAATAATTCTGTATCATAATACTTACAGGGCTACTATGAATTTTTTAGAGTTAAAGTAAAAAGCTAATGGTGCCTGACCCCCAGTTGAGTCTTTAAGTAAGTATAACTTTGAGTCTTCTACTGTATTAGACTTTCATGTGTAATTAGACTGTCTCCTGATTCCACCCCAGTCAGGTGAGTAAAATTAACTACTAGATCTCCAAATTAAACAATTCAGACAATATTGATCATTGTATGCATGTACACACATATGTATGTATATGTGTATGCAAAGAATGTTAAACTATAAGGGCTATTTAAAAATTCATAGGGAGAGGAACTCAATATTGAACTTCAGGAAAACATGTTGATGTTTAAGCAAACCAAGTGAAATCTAAACTGGGAAAAACACTTGAGACTTTCATTCTTTTAAACATCTAGCAAGCAATATATATTCTTATGTAGTGTGGGCTTGGTCTTGAATTAAGGAGCCCAAAGAAATGGGTGACATAGTCATAGAATGAAGAGGCTATTTTTGGTAGGGGTGTGTGTGCCAGCCCACAGGTGGTCTTAAATAAGATTATGCAACAGCAAATGGCTTTTCTTGGCCTTTTTTCTTCAGTTCCTGCAGAAAGTTAACCTTCTTAACTGGAGCTCTCTGAAGCCTGGTTGAAACTTTGACTCTTGGGAGGTGAAAGGCCTTTTGAAATGTTAATTTAGTTCTATGTGCTTACAATGACTGAGTTTTCTGTTTTATCTACTGTAACTCATGATGCAGTGTGTTGAGAGCATGGACCATCACTGTTTTAAGGATGGTAATGCTAAAACAGCACAAAAATATTTTTTGCCGAATGAATTGTACAACAGTCACTCCATAAAGTCACTCTTTCTCTGGCACATGTAAGTGTTAATGTCAGCAATTGACATCTTTGGGACCAGTGGAATTCATAGTAGTTAAGGCACTGGACTTCTAATGGCAAACTTCATGGCTCGGGTCCCAGATCCAGCAACTAGAAAATCATACCAGGTGCATGTGCGTTCATGCCCAAGATTCTGAGCAGAGAATGGAGGAAAAGGGACTGTTGCATGACCATCATCTTCGGGGAATGATTTATCACTTTTCTTCTCTTTGTATCTCTCCAGTGAGCACACATGCCCTATCTCAAAACCCAAACAAACAAGAAGAACATTTTTTTAAATACAATGCTTAGATGGCCCTGAAGATCATATGCAAAATCCTAACATTTTAAGTATGTACTAATATGAACAAAACAAAATTTATAATTCTACCCTTGTCACTGACTTTACAGTTAAGCAATGTTGTGAAGAACTAAAATTTACCATGACCAGTTACAGACGCCATTTACAATCTTATCAGGCTCAGCCTTCAATTGATTTCTATGTTGCTATGAAACTAAGCAAGTTTTTGATCTCTATCTCTAATACCAGATTTCTATGCCAAAGTTCCAATACAAACTGCTTAGCTGGATAATCATTAATTGTTGCCAGTATCAAGTGCTTAAAGAAAAAAATCTATTAAGCACATTTTGGGAACTACAAAGGAAACGATCCTACCCACTCCCTTGCTTTCAGAGTTCAGTGTCATAGAGAGGGAACAACATGAGTCCAAAGAACTACAAAAGAGAATCACCTGTTGTAGGCCAATTAGGCCACAAAGTCTGGGTTTGTTGTGTTCTGATCTCGTTATGCCTCTAAACTCTGCCTACAGGTGTCTGCAGTAGGTTATGTTCATTTGAGACTTTTCCATCTGGGATCACCTGGTGTCACGAAGTGTCTGTTGGTGCAAGGGTTTGCTGCCTGCCTTCTTACCATGTCTAACGAAGTTGAAACAAGCACATCCAATGGTCAGCCTGAGCAACAGGCTGCTCCAAAAGCACCATCGAAGAAAGAGAAGAAGAAAGGTATGGGCAAATCTTCTAAAGCCAGTGATGGGCTCTAAAGATGGTTACCTGTGAAGAAATGTGATTCTGGATAAAGGCTCTTGCCTTTCTTCAACCTCAGCGTAGTCTCAAGTACAGAAAAGTTATACTTGGGCCAAAGAGATGGGCGTACTTCATTTGTAACAAGACAGCTCTGAATCTATGATTGTGTTTAACTTGGGTCCTGCTGGGAAATGTTCATAGCATTTTGTTCAGTTCATAATACAACCATCAGTTGTTACATGGTTATCTTTCAGTAATTTGCTTTCTTTATTGAAGTCCATTTTCTAAAGAAAAAAAAATCAAGACTTTTTAATTAATTTATGTACAGTTTAGGCTTCTGCCTTAGCATGAGTGTGATGCCCAGAGAGAGACAGAGAAAGGGAAAGTGAGAAATCATCCCATGAGGGAATGGTCACGCCGCAATCTCTTCTCCATTCTCTGGGGACTGGGGGTGTGCACACACATGCCCCAAGTGTGATTTTCAGGCCACTGGGTCTGAGACTCAAATCACAGTCAGCCATGTAGGAATCCAGCACCCCAACCACCACACCACTTCCTGGCCCCTTAAAGATCTTTATTTTATTAGACCTTCCTTTTGACAAGAAGTACCACTCAGAAAGTGCCAGAGTCCTTAATCATTTTTGGCTTAAGGCTATGTGGTGACTTGCTTGCCTTGACTACTTGCTTTAGATGTAGGAATGAAACTGAACAGACTTTTTATAAGGAGCAAAAGAAGTCAGAATGATGGGATAATTATCTTAATGGTTTTCAAGGGAATTTATCCACAATTCCCTTTGCCTTATGATAGTTCAAAATATTCCTAAATTGTGTGGTGGCTTATTTTTTTTTCCTTAAAGAAAAATATCCTCTTTACATTCTTTTGAAAGCTTAAAAAAAACTGCGGTGAAGAATATTCCCACCTCCCACTTCACATACTCTCATAAGTTTCTCATAATTTGGTCAGTTTTATACCTCTAAGCGTTATTCCCCTCCCCCACCAACTCCATACAGAGTATTAAGGAGCATGATTCTGCTCAAAGGAAGTAAGAATAAGACCAGGTACAATATTGCATGTATGCTCAGCTGTAGTATAATCAAGATTTATTCTCCTTAAAGATTAGAGATTCCGCTGCATATTTCATTATGCCTAAGACATTTAAAGGCAAATGTTGCCCTGTATTTATTTCTTTTCTCAGGCTCTGAAAAGACAGATGAATATCTTTTGGCCAGGTTCAAAGGTGATGGTGTAAAATACAAGGCCAAGCTAATTGGTATTGATGATGTGCCGGATGCAAGAGGGGACAAAATGAGCCAAGATTCTATGATGAAGCTTAAGGTAAAGGGAAAAGAATGCTTTGGCCATGTATTAAGCTAACATTGGATTGAGGGAATTATATTAGAAGCTCTCGCTTATCCATATCTCAATTATTTTAAAAACTTTTCTAATTACATCATTGATCCAGTAGCACCTCATTTTCTGAGAAATCATGGGTTCAATGGCCTATTTTTTTTTTATATGAAAGAGAGGAGAGCAAGCTAGAGCTAGAAAGATATGTATACTTGACAGGGTCTTATCATCAATAATTTACCTCTTCCAGCCTCACCTCTTCCAGTTAGCTAGCATCACAGGTATGTACTTCTGTGGCCAGCCTGCTTCGGTTGGTCCAGAACCCACCCTCACAAAGTGGTGCTCTACTGTCGTGCCACTGCAGTAGGCCTGTTTGAATATTTTGAGTACTGTTCTAGAGACTTGATTCAGTGAAGAACTCCAGATGCCTTTCCATTTTGGCAGATGTAACATTTGGACAAACAGGTCTACCCATACCATTGCCCTGGTTAAATGATTATAAAAGCTGTGTGAAAATGTGTGCATTATTTATCTTACTCTATGTAGAGAGCACAGAATACTCTAGGTTAGAATTTAGGAGTATTTGGATAAATTTCAGAACTTTAATTGGAATCTGGTTTAATGTTAACTCTTCTGTTTCTTGAATTTCACAAGTTTTCATCCCTTGATTTATCATGGGATTACATCCTGATAAGCCCATCACAAATCAAAATTATCATTAAGTCAAAATCCATTTAATACTCCAATAAACCCATCATAAAGTTGAAAAATCCTAACTCAGACCATCATATGTCAGAGATTAGCTGGACTATGTGAAACTAATTAAATAAATAATACTTGTTAAATAATACAGGGCCTAGAAGGAACATCTTTAAATATTTCCTAGTCCAATTCCTTAAAAGATCTTCTCTTTTTCTTTAGTCCAATATCAATGACTGTTCTGAAGCCAAGAGAATGAGACTTGATCAAGTTCACCTAAGCTAACAAAGTTATGCCCTGGGCTCAATGTATTAATATAGTCTATTTGATCTTTCTGTTCTTAATTAACCTTTTTAGAGATGGTAAACCTTGCTGCTGTTTAATTAACCTTTTTAGAGATGGTAAACCTTGCTGAAAACTTGAACTGTTTTTTAAAACTATAGTATTAGAAGCATCATAGGGTAATTTTAATTCTTGTTTTCTCAACTTCATCAGGGAATGGCAGCAGCTGGTCGGTCTCAGGGACAACACAAACAAAGGATCTGGGTCAACATTTCCCTTTCTGGGATAAAAATAATTGATGAGAAAACTGGGGTAAGAATTCATATTCGCTGACACCTATCTGATCATCTGAGTCTGAAAAACAATTTGCTATTTAAATTTCAGGTCCTCTTGTCTTTTTCAAAGTTTCAGAGAAAAACAATAATATTAATTACATCTCCAAAGTAACAGGCAAAAGCCATAATAGGAGGTGAAGAGTCAAGATATTTCATTCTGAAATGCACATTCTATCATGGATGTGAAGCTAAGTCTATAAACACAAGTGTCCTTTAAGTATCATTTGGGAATTTTTTTGAACCTCTGGTGTACACAACTAAATTAATCCCCTTTTTTTTTAAATTTAAAGAAAAAATGTATTGAAGACTTGAAAAACAATTCCTCAAAGATTGACTCCAGAAAACTGTAGCTACACAATGCATTTTATCTGCCATGTTAAAACGTACATTAGACACAAATACAAAATCATGAAATAAGCCACCAGTCTTTAACTATTTGAGTCAAGATAATGCCTAAAGAACAACATGTGCAAAGGATGGACTCTTTAAGTACCATTAAAAAAAAAGGTGCACAACTGGATGAGTTATATACACTGAATAGAACCTTTGGCACTAAGAATCAGACATTTTGTCATAAAGCATTAACACATTCCTTGAAAGAATTAATCCTAACTCCTGGTTGTGACACTCATACATCTATACTTCAGTCTCATTTTACTTGAGATGTAACCTCACTCATCTTTTGTGATTGCTATTGTTTTATCACATCTGCTTATTTTGTTTTGTTTTTGAACCTTATCCAAGGGTATGTCATACTTCAGGTCTTTTGAGAAGACTTTTCTACTCTGCTCAACATAACATCATTAGATTCATCCACTTATAAGATGTGGTTTTCTTTTGTTTCTGTTTTTGTTTTTTAATTTGCTAGAGGGCCTATGTACTTGTTGGAGAAATAGAGCAAGAGAGAGAGAGATAGTAAGAAAGCACCCTCTATGGTGATGGCCATGCCACAATTCCATCTCCTCCATTTCTCCTTTTGGAATCTTGAGCATGCAGCACATGTACCAGGCCTGTTTAGCAAGCTGCCAGGTCCAGGATTCAGATTACCAGTCAGCCACTTTAACTACCATGCCATGGATGACCCTTAAAATGTTGTTTGTAGCTCATTTTCATTGTTGTATGATATTTTATTGTATCAGTGTTCTGTGGGGGGGACTTCCAGTTACTAGTCATCCCTTCCTGGCCATACCCACTGCCTACTACGCAAAATGCAATGATCAAATCTGGCACTCTGATACAGACTCACTCAGTCCATGGATCCTTAGGCCATCATGGACTGCTATCTCCAGTCTCCCTCATTTCTTAACTCTTATTTTCCCAATCCTGTCAAAAAACAGTGGCGGTTTTCTTTCACAAGCATTGTCTCTACTCAAGTCTTCTGAGATATGCAATATAAACTTTTTAATGGCTTTAGACATTTAGAAATAAAAACCAAGACACATTCTGTCACTCACAAGTAACTCTGTTACTTGCTTGAAAGGATCAAGGAAAAATAGAGACAACATTACTAAGCCAATAAACTCTGCCAACCATAACTCCTGAATAATGACATGGCCCATCTGAGTGAGGTTGAAAAATAATTGAACACAGCATTTGGTAACTTCCAGAATATAGTGAAGATACTCATTTCTACCATTTATAGGAAAGCTTCTTGGCCATTCTTAGCTAATATCAAGAATCCATGTGGGGCCAGCCAGTGGCATAGTAGAGAAGGATCCTACCTGGCTGACTATGGTTTGAGTCCCTGACCCAAGGGCTTGAAAAACACACCAGGTACCTGTGTGTACTTGATCCTTTTCAAAAATCCTGAAAAGAGAAATAGAAAAGGGAAATGGAGAAAGTACTTAAAGGGGGTGTTTCCTGCTGTCTCTCTATCTTCAGCAAGCACACATGCCCTCTAGCAAATTAAAAACAAAGCAAATGAAAAAAGAATCCCTGTGAAGACTCCTTAGTTTTTCTGTTCACTTAAGTTTGTTTTTGAGATGGAAAAGTAGATTTTCTTGGGTTGGTTTAAGGACTACATGTCCCCTCTTTGTGTTCTCCTAATACTCAGTCCTTCCCATGCTATATTGTATCTTTAGGAAGAATCAAGTATCATGATTTTCTTTTCTTTTCTTTTTTTTTTTTTTTTTTTTTTTTTTTTTTTTTGAGAGGTTTTTGCCATAGGGCACATGTGCTCACAGACAGACAGAGAGACAGAAAGCAAGAAATCACCCACCAGGGGGAATGGCCATGCCACAATCCCTTCTCCTCCATTCTCCTCTCGGGATCTTGGGCACACATGCACACGCACCCGGCGTGAGTTTTAAGCCACTGGGTGTGGGACGCGAACCGTGGTTGACTACATGGGAGTCCAGCGACGTAGCCATTACATTAATTGCTGGTCTCTCAAGTATCATGATTTTAAGAAGGAAGATTTTTCCCATCATTGTCCTCTTCCCTTGGTCTGGAGTCCTTTCTAGAAGGATAACTGCAGCTCTAGTCTTCAACCAGAGGCTAACAAATTCTTCCTTCAAATATTTTAGTGTCTCCATATACACCTTCATATATGTATCTGATGGTTAGCTTTTCTAGCCTATAAATTGATTCTAGAATTGTCAATAATTCATTTTTATGTTCCCTTTTAAGGTAATAGAGCATGAGCATCCAGTAAATAAGATTTCTTTCATTGCCCGTGATGTGACAGACAACCGGGCATTTGGTTATGTGTGTGGAGGAGAAGGCCAGCATCAGTTTTTTGCCATAAAAACAGGGCAACAGGTAAGCTCTCAGCCTTAAGGCATACCTACAGATCTGTGCTCTGTTGAGCATAGGGGTGTCCCTCACTCAAGTAGAAAACTTGCTGGAAACAATTAGATGTAAGGAGGCTAAATAATGATTCCCAGAATGATTACCTTTATTGGCCTAAGAGATCTTTACAAAATGCCTGATACCCATGTAGGAGTGACACAGAATTGTGAGAATGCACTTTCTTAGAAGGTCATTGCTGATTGTAGAACAATAGGGAATTACTCCCAGAAACCTTGAAAGTATTTTTGTCTAAGTACTTATTAACCCTGCTGACTTTTATGTATCTGGGTGGGGGTGGGAATGGTGTTTTTCTCTTATAAACCAAAGTAAGGTAATAATAAACTTTAATAGAAAAAAGAAATACGTATTAATCAGAAATGATAGGGGACTAAGAGGAGAAAATATAAGGTTAAAATACTGATAACCATGCTTTCTCTTGCTGCAGGCTGAGCCTTTAGTTGTCGATCTTAAAGACCTTTTTCAAGTTATTTATAATGTAAAGAAAAAGGAAGAAGAGAAGAAAAAGGCAAGTACTACCTAATAAAGACTTTATTAAAGTTACATGAAGGGTTAATATTCAATATTATGTATATGTATTGCCTGTCTGGAGAGTTGGAAAATATATGACTCTTCAAGTATAGAAAGTATAGAAGTGTATGGTCTTTTCTTCCCAATAGGGCAAGGGTGAATGCTATGGTTAGGCACTTCTGATTTCCAATCCCTGGCTCTCATTTTTCTTCCCATAAGCTTCATATTGATTCTAGGGAGTATACAGACAACTTTAAATCCAATATCAGTCTAGCCCCATAGCCTAGTGGTTAAGAGAGGTAGACTCCTCATGACTGACTGTGGTGCAAATCCCCATCCCAGTGACTTGAAAAACATGTCTGGTTTTATGTGCCCAAAATCTCAATAGGTTGGTGAAGTGGGGGAGAATGGATTGAGGTGTACCACACGCCACTAGGGGATTGTGCTTTTCCTTCCCTGTCTCTGTTGAGCTCACGTGTCCTTTAACAAATGTAAAATAAATGAATCTAGTATCTATTCAAAACCAGTATTCATATGAAATGGGGTGGCAGGGGGAACTAGCAGAAATGCTATACAAGGTTCTTTCTTACCTTGTTCCTGAGAACCTACAGTTATTTTTGTTATTTTATGTAACTCCCTGGGATTACTGAATTTTTCTCTTTCCTTTTAGACGGAAGAAGCCAACAAAACAGTAGAGGTAAAACTGTGTCTTTTCTTCTTATGAATTTTGTGTATGATATATATATATAAGCCCTTGTTTGCAACCTGCCCGAGTACTCTCCCCTCCTAGCTTATTATTCTGTGTTTATGACCTCACTGACCATGGACAATATATAAGGGGTCTTCAAAATGATCATGGAAAATGTATATTATGAGAACATTATGTGTGGGTTTCATTTTTTTTTGTACCAAAATAAGCTCATACTGCAATTCCATTTCTTCATGAACTTTTTTAATACATTCACTCTACAACATTTAGCTTGTAAAGTGAATTTACACAATATGAAATACATTTCACACCAGTCCAGTTGAGAATACTATACATGTTATCATCAACAGGTAATAAACCATTTCTGTGTCCCACAAATGTCTTACCTTTCTATTTT